CTCCAAATGGCTTCTGTATTTCACTTACAGAATTCAAGCCAGCATGTTTCCAGCTTGAATTCATCTCCAAGAACCTAATAATAGAATCACCAGTTGAGTAGTTGACAGATAACTATTTTAGTTTAAAAAATAGAATCAAAAAAATCAGGAATCAGCTTGATCAGGAAAGACATCGTAGCCGGCACAGTACAGCTAAACGTTTAACTGAGTTTGCACATAGCAAATCTAGGCATTAACATACTAACTTTCAATAATCAGAAATTTCCATAATTACATTATTTAATAGGCTATGACAATCTCTATGTTTAGTCTGTAAATCCTGAGCCTACTCCATCATTTATGACCCCTCTTCCTAGAAGGTAGCTTTGTAACTATTTACTGTTGATGAGTAATATCTGAAAATAAAACTCTCTTCCATTTCAGAATTTCTTCTCTTCAACTAAAGCAAGACCACATTAAAAAAACAACCAAAATGATTCAAGGAAGAATATTTTGTGTGTGTCTTCTAGAGACAGAAGACATACATCTGGCTTTCCTCCTACCTTGCTCTACCTATATTAATTTAAAAAATCTTGGTTGAAACTCCATTCATTAGCACACTTAAAACTTTTTTTTTTCCTTCCTAGTTTATATGGCAAGCCTGAACCCCAATAAAAGGCTGAGGAATCCTACAAATCAGAGGCCGTCCACTCAAATTTTAGGAGCTCAAGCCAAAGCACCAGCTACAAAATATTTCCATTTTCTCAGTGAGTAGGGCAAATGCCAATGCCTCTTCAAATGGTATCAGAAATCTTTAGCTTGACTATAGGGAAACTGGCTAGGTACCATCTGCCTGTTTCTTCCCCATCTCGTGTCTGAAAGAATTATAGCACTAGATATGGCACTGCATCAGTTACAGCACCAGCAAAAGTTTTACTGTCTAACTCATTTTGATATATATATATATATTTATATATATATGTATGCTTCCATTAGTAAAGAGTATGTATACTTGGTGCAACATGATATTATTCTTTGTGTATTATAATATCTCGTGACATGGCATTTACCGTACAACTGTAAAAACAGTTATATTACAATCAGCAGTAATAATATTCTCTAGCCAATAAGTATTGGGCATTTATTTCAAACTTGATACTTACAATCCTCCTTCTAGGAAATTACAGACATTTTCATCACGTTTCGATACTAAATGGAAAGTTTCTCTGATAATTTGTTGCTGTGTATCTTCACTCTATGAAAGAAAACATATGCTATCAGGCTAAAATGGATTAACAATGCACATCACGCACAGCTAATAAATAGAACACAAAGTATATCAGCACCTCCAAACTATCTACTTCTGAAGCCTTAAATCAATTAACAAGCTGCCAGTTAACAAGTTGCAAATTGCTTTTGTCATTTCAATACAAAAAGGAGTTTTTACAAGTTGCAGAATATATTACTGAGAAACAACTGTGAAAAAAGCAATTAAGAAACTTCTAAAAAAAAAAAAGCTAAAAATAGTTTCCTCAAATAAACAGGAAGTCTTCTCAAGAACTCTGAATTTTTTGTATCTCCCCATAGCCTGAACTGCTACAGACATGTCTTGAAACTACTTTCACCCATGAACAGGGGGGAAAACAAAGTCTCAAAAGCTTGAAGGGGGTGAGGAAGATAAAAATCCCACAATACATAACTCTTTCAGAAATAGCTTAAAATATAACAGCATCATAAGCAACAGGTTCTTCTAAGCCATTAACTTCCCTTCTAGCAGATCAGAAACATCACTTCTGAGTTTGAATTCACTTGACTCTTCCTGAGTCCCCACTGCAACTGCATCATTTCGGCACACTTGCTTTTGCTATCCTTCTCTCAGAGTGGACTCGTTTTTAACAAGTCTGTACTTACATAGTCAGAAAAAAATAATTAGATACAATTAGATATAGTAGAATTAGATACAATTCTTAATATCCTGAATTTATTTTACAAGCATAGATAGCCCTCATCACTGCCCAAGCATGTAAGTCAGCATTTTGAACCATTAAATGAACAAACATTATAAGCACACCTGGTGCACATATCTTAAAAGTGATTTCAGCTAGAACAGTGGAGAACTCTGCATGACTGCTAAGCAAGCAAAGCCTGGCATTGGTGTGGTTTGCATTCATCACCTTAAATTCATGTGTTATTTTATAAACAACCTCTAGAAGCCAAGAAGTCATCAGTAAAAAGCTTCAGCAGAAGTAAATTGATCCATAAAACACAGAACAAAAAAAAAAGCAGGTTCCTCTGCTTCTATAGTTTGTCTTCCTTAAACTGTGCCTGCCTTATTCTGTAGTTATCTCAGTTACTTCCCCCATATTTTCTATAGTACCAGGAAGGAAACAATGTGTCTTTTTTTCCTAAGAAACTGAGTTACTGAGTATTTAAAATAACTTTTGTTTTCAGAATCTGCCCTTATTCACAAAGTTGTTCAGAAACTTATTTTTAACTTTTAATTTATGACCACAGGACTATATTCTGAAACGTCTTCCTATTTAATGGCCATGAATTATTATTTTGCTATTCAACTGCAAAAGATTAACAACTTTACTTTACAGTAGAAACTCTTCCCATTTTCATATGTATCAGGGAAAAAACTCACACACATTTTATAAGTTTTGGTATCATGAAGCAAACAAATACCTCTTTTACAGATCTGACCAAATTTTCTCCAGAAAGCAGGAGATGCTTTCACTTGTAGAAAAAAAACCCTGAGATTTACCTCCATTATTGGTTCAATCGATATTAAAGTGTAGATAAGTTTCAAAAAGCCCATAAATAAGCCTATCTTATTGAAGTCACACACAAAAAGATAATCAAGACAATTGCACATGTTTCTGTACACCACAAAGCTTTAGGGAAATCACCTAATCACATAATTTCTTAATTTCATTTATTATCCACGTTTTCAAAATTTCAAGACGTTCTGTTTAAATAGACATATTACCCTACTTTAAGCATTGAGGATTTGTTCTATTTCCAGTTATGAAAGTAGTAGAGTAGAATAGAGTTGACAAAAAAATCTGGTATATTCCTGCCATTTGGTCCTCTCCTACCCCTGCTTCTTCTGCCTTCCAGGACTTTGATGACACAACAGTAACAGAAGACACAAAAAGATAATGAGATTTGAAGGGAAGATGAGAATGGACATTAACTACTTCACATTTATGCAACTTTTGTACACCTTTCCAAAGCCTTTCATCTACCTATTTAACTATTACCTCCACATTGACAGGAAAAAAAGAAAAGGAATAAAAATGTAAAAAAACAAAACAAAACAAAACAAGAAAACACAAAAAAACAAACCCAGAAAACTTTTTTAATAAGTTACTGGAGCTCTGCAATGGAAGTTAAGAAGAGAGTGAGGACGCACACAAGAGGAACACTTATCAATATGTGTAGGTGAGAATATTCCATTTTAATTTTTAAATTAGAAATGATAAATGAAAGACATCTGCTTGGTAACCCAGAACTGATGAGAAATAAGAAAATGGGTTCACAAACATATATTAGAATTTCCCAAAATTGCCTGTCTAAGGAGAAGGGATCAAGTTCAGTCATCCATGGCAATGACCTGTATCAGTTACACTCCTTTAATTAAAAGCCTGACAGTGCAAATTCAAGTGTCATAGTCATCATTTCTGCTCTGAGATGTAGAAGATACAACCCTTCCAATAAAGTTAAACATGACTTCTGTAACAGCCAGAATTTCAAGTAAGTGGCCACAGATCCAAATAACAGTATTAATGAAAAAGAGTATTTTGTTCACATAATTCTGGAAAGCATCAGTTGCTTTCTTGCTTTTTACTGCTCAAGGTCAGCCCAAGCAGAACTTAGCCTATGTGCTATGAAATCAGGAGGTGATCAAAATATTAGCTGAAAATCTCCTACCCTTGAACTAAATCAACTGTTTCTACACTGTTTCTTAATTCCTTGTGACTGCACTTTCCTTTGGCTCAGATCAAGTGCTTGTGCTGCATTTTCAGATCTGCTTTGCTACTTGCCTTCTCCCAAGTAAAACACACTTTTCTATCTCAGACCATTTCTTTTTTTTTTTTTTTTTTTTGTATTGACTGTGCTTTCATACTACTCTAAAAGTTTCCAGAGGAAAAGTCTCTGCTGTTGGAACTCACGAGTCCCATAAAACCCGTCTTCCCAATTCTAACGCCCCTGGCACTACACGAGACGCCGAAAGTCGGGCTGAGAACCACGGCAGAGTTCAGAGCGGCGCTCCCACACACACGCTGAGGGAACCGAGCCGGCCGTCGAACAGGACTCGACCTTCCGTGCGACTAAAGGGCAACCGCACCGAGCCGGCCGTCGAACAGGACTCGACCTCAGCGACAAGAACGCCGACCGGGCGGGCACCTTTCCCCGACAGCTCCTCTTCCTCACGGCCGGCCCTTCGAGCGGTCCCGGCGCCCTCCATTTCCCCCCGCCCTCGGCCCACGCCGCTGCCCGGAGCGCAGGGCGGCCGCGCCCCGCCACCGCCGCGCCTGAGGGGAACGCCCGCCGCCTCGGCACGGACGGACGGACGGACGGACGGACGGACGGACGGACGGACGCCCTCCCCGCCCCAGGAACCCGGCCCCGCGTAGCCCCGTCCGTACGTAGCGCTGGTAGAACTTGGAGAGCCGCGGCTTGCCGTGGTTGTTGAAGATGAGGATGGCTTTGATCATGGTGGGGTGGCGGCGGCCGCCGGGCTCGCTGCGCTAAGCCCCTCCTCCCCCTCCCCCTCCTTCTTCTCCTCCTCGTCTCCTTCTTCTTCCTCTTCCTCCTTCTCCTCTTCTTCTTCTTCTTCTTCCTCCTCCTCCTCCTCCTCCTCCTTCTCTCCCCCACCCCCCCGCCCCCCACCACGTCGATCCGCAGCCGTTAGGGGCGGTGCGCCGCCCCACCGCACGCGCCCCGCCCCGCCCCGCCCCTCCCTCCCCGTCACCTGACAGGAAGGCGGCGTCCGGCAAGGGACAAACCGCCTCGCGGCCCGCCCCCCACCCCGCCGCGACTTCCGCCCGCCCAGCGAGAGGATGGCGGAGGCGGAGGAGCAGGCGCTCGCCTCGCCTCAGAGCGATAGCCGGAGCGAGGGCGGGGAGGAGGGCCCGGAGGGCGGAGCCGCAATGGCCGCTGCGGACCCGGCTCCCCCGCCAGCCGGCTCGCCGGGCGCCGAGGAGCCCGCCGGCGACGCGAAAAAGAAAAGTAATGGGGCGACAAGCCGCGGGCGGGGGACGGGAGCTCGCGTGGTGACGGGCGGGTGCGCTGGCCAGTCGGCGGTGGGAGCGAGTGGTTCTGGCCAATGAGGGGGCGGGGGGGGGTGCGGTGGCGGTGACGGGCGCCCCTTCCCCGCAGTTGACGTGCTGCTGAAGGCCGTGGGCGACACCCCCATCATGAAGACCAAGAAGTGGGCCGTGGAGCGGACCCGCACCATCCAGGGCCTCGTTGACTTCATCAAGAAGTTCCTCAAGCTGATGGCCTCCGAGCAGCTGGTAGGGGCCGCGCCTCCCTTTCTCCCCGCCCGATGCTGCCCCGCGGCGCTGCGCGGCAGCGCGTTTCGCTGGGCGGCTCCTAAGCGCAGCGTAGCCGTAGGAGTCAGGGGTACGGAAAGAGTGTTTGGGGAAAAAAGCCCGAAGTGTTTGGGGGTTGACTTTCTGAATATTGGTGTCTGCTTCGTTCTTCTTGAACGGTTTAATTACTTTAATAGGACCAATTTCTATTTTAAAACGGGTATTTGGGGAAATGTTCACAGTTTGGCAGCACGCTGCCGATATTGTTCATGTGTTCCTTCCTGTGAAGCCCAGGTGGCCTCCTCATAGCACTGGAGGAGCTGGAACAGATTCGGAAATATGATTGTACTTACCTTGCAATTAACAGTAAACTCTTAACATCCATACACTTTGAAGTTTTCGTTTAAGATGTAAATTTAAAGCTAAACTCATTAAAATAATTAAGTGTTTAGCTAAAGTGTAGATGAAATCACTGTGTTCTTGGTCTGGAGGCTCTTACTGAAGCATACAGCTGTAAATGGTTTCGCTAGCCATCTCTTTCACCTGGAAATCATGAAGGTTTGTTTTTTTTTTTTTCCCAAGGCTTAATATCTCAAAGAAGAGTAATAGTTCAGCTATTTACTGTTTGTGGATATTCTCAACAGTTTAATTCATTAACTGCCATCTCATTACCTGAGGAAAAAAAGATGGGACATGGAGTCTTCCAGCGTGGTATAAGCTTAAGGCTATACTTCAGGAGCAAAGCCCTAGGAATTTCATAACTTTTCTTTAGAAATAGCACATGATACCCTACTATACATTATCATCTTGCACTACAGATCCCAAGGCCTTCTTTGACATTATAGACTACCTGCTATATGCGTATATACATTTGCAGCAGGATGTGACAAAGATGACTTTGTAAAAGAACACAATAATTCTGATTTCTGTGACTGCTGCTCTAATTGAGCAAATTTGGAATAGTAGGAATGGTTTGGATACTTGAAATAAGAGCAAGAATTAAACCGGTGAGTTCACTTTGTGCTGCTGTATGGCAGACGAATGAGTCAACTTGCAGGAGAAGGAAGTCAGCATGCTTGCTTTGGCTTGGTCTGGTTGGCCAGTCAGGGGTGACTCCTGGAAGTCATGTTGCCCCTCCACACTGAAGATATATTAATTTGTAGTATTTTGGTGTGGACTGTAAAGATTATTAAATAAATGGTGAACAGAGGTCAGATTCACACACCTCTGGTTGCAGAATGTTTCTTCTATGTGATCTGTGAGATCTTTGAGAGATCTCTATCTTCTGTTTCTTTTCTTGCAGTTCATATATGTAAACCAGTCCTTTGCTCCGTCTCCAGACCAAGAAGTTGGGACCCTCTACGAGGTGACTTTTATCTTAAATATTCTTTCCAAATGCGCTTAGCAGAATTTGTCAGTACACTTTTGGCACTTGATATCTGCCCCCAGCTATGCTGCTAATATCTTCCATTTAATGTAATGTAGTTGACAGAGCTGTATGAGTATTAGTTAAAGAGACATGACTTCATACAATCTCTGGAAATGCATTACTTCTCATACAGTGTGTTGTAATGGCTCTCACTATGATGGAGAGCTTTGTTATCAGTAACAGTATTCCAAGACACAGTTATCTGGTGGAGGGATTTTTTGTTTGTTTTGTTTCATGTATATGCTAGCCAATGAATAATGGCTCTTGTTTTGGTTTCTTTTTTTCTTGCAGTGTTTTGGAAGTGATGGCAAACTTGTACTGCATTATTGCAAAACTCAGGCATGGGGATGAATGACAATCAATACAGTTGTTTAGGTGTTGCCTTCAAAAATGGAAAAGGGACTAATTTTGTTAACCTGTAAACACACAGAAAGAAGGATTTTTGCATTTCTGCTTATGACTGTACATTTATAACAATTATGTAGATAAATAACATAAAAAAAGAGCAACCTAGGCTATCTGATCATATAGCTTTTTTCTGATGTACATCTGAGGTACAGAAAAAAAATCTGCATATGCCATCTAAGAGTAGAGCCAGCTCTCTTGCTGCCGAGTCCTCAATTGCTGTATCTAAAGGGAAACTGTATCATGCTTCTCTGGAGGACTGACTGGATGGCTCTGTTACCCTATATGCAATACTGAAGATAAAAGTTCCTTTTTATTGATCTTGAAAATCTATTATGCCATTTCAAGGCGGTATTTTGAATTTTTTTTTTCTCATAATTAATATGTAGGTATTAGTATATAGTCTAATTACTTCACTCTGTGCCTTCCTCATATTGGTAGTATATCATTTATATGTTACAACATAGTCATAGGCCTCAGAAATACTTTCCTCCCATCCAAATTGTGTAGTGATTTGTTGAAGGCTCAACACTTCAGCAGTTGCCAAGGTGTTTCTTCTGGCACTGTTTAATGACTAGCATCATTACTTGAATGTTGCAACTGGCTGTTGCATCTTCAGTTAATGAAGAAATAGACATGAGGTGCTAAAAACCTACTCTACTACTTTTGGCTGCTGTTTTCATGTTTCACCAGCTGCATGTGCCAGCAACAAAATAGAATGCACTATGTATTCTTTTGCTAAGTTGTAACATAATAAGGAATTTTTTTTTCATCCTTGGTACCTTGATTAGGGTACTGAACTTTGCTTTTATTTATTGGAAGGTTTCGGTTGTGGGGGTGGCTTTTGTGGATTTATTTTAAATGTTCATTGTACAATCTTTGTTTAAGCTAAACTAAATAAAATGTTAGCTGTTTGCTTGTGGAGTGTTCTTACACTGGATGACGGTTTTGGTCCCTGACATAATCCACTTCTTCAGCACATACAGGCAAAACAAAGCATACTTCTACAATAGTCTTGAGTTTTTCAATGCTATTTCATGTGTAAGTGGCTCTCGTGGTCTCTGCAACCTGTGTATAAGGTAGTTCTCCAGGAGTCCTCTAAGGGTGGAACCAAATATTCAGCTTAACTTACTGATGTTGCTACATTTTGTGTGCAGCCTGCATATATGGCACAGTAACACAGGCACACACCATGATTGCTTGCTATATGAACAGCTTGATATATTTTACCACTTTCTAAGTGGAAAACTTGGAATCACTGGGTTGAGCTATCAAGGCACAATTGGTTTTAAACGTAAACACTTCAAATAATGCTTACTTTTGCCTGCTCAGAACCCTGATCTCATGAATCTCTGTCTATTTAAGAGAACTATTGCAGAGGTAAGCACTCTGATTCTGTCTTGTTGAGGAAATTGCCTGCTGTTAGTGTGAAGCCAGCCTAACCTTGCACAGCCACTAGAGGGTACACAAGGACAAAGGTATCTGCATAGTTTTTCTTAGATTTTTTTTTTTCAATCTTTTTCATAATGTGTCCACTTGCCAGCCTTACAAATATAAGTAGTTTGTTCTGCTGTGTTGCAGTATGTTTATCTGAGATAAGCTACTAGTCTGGCTCTCTTTAAAGAATGTTCTATTGGTGCCTTTCACCTCATTTGATCTTAAATAGAACTACTGATACACTGCAAGTGTGCTCTTCAGAAGTGATGCAAGAAGGCTGGGAGATGTGGCGGGGGGGGGAGATTGTTTTGGTTTGGTTTAAAAATAAATAAAAGCCCACTAGGATCTTAAGGTGAAGGAGAACTGTAGGTCATTTTACCTTGCCAGCTAATAGTAGAACATTGGCCTTCATGTTGAATATATCAATAATTGTTATCCTCTTAACTTAAAAAAAAAAAAAAAGTTTCCCTCATTCCTTTCAAAGGTGGTGTAAAACCCACAGTAATAGTTTGGATTTCTTTTATTCACCACATGCATTTTTGAACTTGGATAACTTACCCATGCAGATCTGAATTATTTATTTGAGATTCATCTTGTGCCTTGTACAATATTTATTACTGTTTACTCCAGAATTTTTCTTCTTTTAGTTTCTCTGCCACCCCAACAAATTATTTCTTGGCCCCTAGTTTACCAGTATACAATGACTGTTCACCTGATCCAGCTCCCGCTTTCTGTTTCCTGAATGCTCTAAGAAGCTGCCTTTTTTCTGTTACTTGCCTTTTAATGACTGCCAGTTCCAATTCTACTAATTCCCCCACATAGCTTCCCTACCTTCTTTATAGAGAGAGTCCTCCTTTTTGCCACTCTTGCCTGTAGTTTTCTACCTTCTCACATCAAGGAGGTAGTCAATGCTTGTTTATCTCTGATTACTCCTTAAGGACCATTGGCTCACTCTGGAGTCAGGGTGTGACTGTTTTAAGTGGCAGAAACTTTTCCTTGTACATATTCTTAAATAACAGCCTAGACTGCAAACATGTTAAGTAGGTAACGTGTTGGGTATTGAACAAATAAATAATTAGCAGAACATTGCTTGTAGAATTTGCAGAAGACAAAAGTTGCGAAAGACATGTTAAATCTTTTATTTTAAAAAGTGACAGTTACAGCATCTGAAATCATAGATGATCCTGAAATGTTTTAAACTATATGTACTTATCTCTTCAAAAATAAAAATTCCAGAAAATTGGAAACATCAGAAGCTTAAGTAGAGCATGAAATATGTTCTCTGTATTCTGTATGCCTTGAGCAAAAGTTTTGGCTGTAAAGTTTAAGTGACTTCCGTTGCTAAAGTGGAAGAAAAAATGAAACGAAAGTAAGGACTGAACTTTTGGGCAAATCTATGAGAGTTGTATGAGACAAAAAAGTGTAGACTTGCTTGGAACTGTATTGTGCTCCATCCAAAGATGCTACAGTACTGAGCTACCAATATTTGTAATATAATTTAATACACTTGATTTTATGTAATTGAATTAACAGAATAGTCAAATTGGAAAAAATCAGTAAGTAAACTAATTTTTAAAGATAGACACATAAAGGTAAGTATTGGAAAGGAAAATTGTTATACTGGTTTTGTGAAAGACTTAGTACTTCACAACATCCTACTACTAAAAAACCGTGCTATGTAAAATCCAGTTATCTTGTTTCCAGGGTAACAATCACCAAGTTCAAACCCTCTAAACTGGAATGCACTGCTTGTATGAAATACTATTCAGATAATAATTTAAAGACTATCATTAATTACAGATTTCTATTTCGTAGCTTGACTTAGTCTTAAAAGCACATGGAAAACATGAAGGAGCTAAGTGAAACTAAAATTACCTCGAGAATGAAATCATAAAATGCATAGTCATGCCACTTATGTACGTATTGAGTGGATGTCATCTTTACTTTTAAGTCATGTAGAATTACTCCTAAGGTATTAACAGAAGATGTGTCTGCGTTAATTATCGCCACAACATAATCTTGCATATACTGATTACAGCAAATTCAAGGTGTAGGGGGGTGGAAATTCACACATCCATTCTGCAAACTCCTTTTCAACTCTAAAGCAGCTTCTGTTTACTGTTGCTGCTTTTATGCTCAATTTGCAGATCAAATTCTGCTTTTAATTGCACAAGCTTTTGGCTCACCTTGTTCTTGATGATCCTGAAGTCTTTGTTCTTCAGAGATGTACAAAGATCACTCAAGGCATGATTGTACTATAACACCTTCATACTTGGATGATGAGACAAAAAAGGGTGAAAATTGCCTTTAACTCTGGGGTTTTCATTATGATCATGACTCTATTATGAGCTTGTATAAAATGCTATGTGCAGTAAAAAAGAAAAAGTGTTTGCAGCCTTGTTTCATATTGGATCATCAAGAGAAGAAAAACATTTGACCAGAAAGCATGTTAAATGTGTTTGCTCTTACTTGTGGAGACCATGCCTCAGCTTTGCTAGCATCGTACTTAATATGCTTCCAAGGTTAAACATGATAAAATTCTCTGTATTTTTCTTCCTGCTTTGCACTTTCTTTGGTAACCATAATGCCATGAGATGTCAGGTGCATCTCACTGTATTTTAGTCGAAGACTTTTGACTTGATGCCAAAATCTCTAAATGAGTTTTTGTCTCTCTGGATGTTGTTTCGTCTGAAAAAGGTGATTAAGAAAGGTTGAATGAATCCCATTGTTGACTAAAGAGAGACTGAAATAAGTATGTTAAAAGCTTTTAATGTTAAGCCAGTCACACTACATCTGTGCCACTGAACTCAGCAGTGCCAGGAAATTTTCTGGGGCACTGTAGCTCAGTCATCTGTACAGTGAGTTGATAGAACAGTTGCTGGCACAGGTTTTGGCCTATGCACGATTCAGGAGTTGGCAAGGTACCATTTCTGGTGGGCGCTTTGGACGTGACCAGCCTGTTCTGGAGGTTAAAAGGTGAATAATGTGGATGCAAACTGTTCTTTGCAAGTTGGTCTCTGTGCCAGGGTGCAGTCCTTGGGATATTTGTTAGTAGATACACAGTCCCAATTCCAGGTGAGATTTGATCCTTTGTATGCACACTGAGAAGAATTAAACTTTGAGGAGAAAAACATTGTCCCTCTTCAGCCTCCAGCAGCAGTCTCAGAACTTTTTTAAAATGGTTCTGCAGCTTTCCCTCCATGCAATCGTCACATATATGCTTGCTTTAAGTGCCTACCGATACATAGATTCTGTAAGATTTTTTATTACAAGTGCAGATTATAGATGGTGAGGAAGTACTACTTGCACATCTCAATTCACTCATACCTTTTCTTTTTAGAAATAGATGACAAATATTAGTAGGATTTAGGGAAAAGTACGGGAGTCTCTGTCCTTGGCCTGTGTCTTCTCATGGAATAATTCCACATGAAAATTATTTATATATAAAAATATGTATCAGTTGGACTGAGTGAATATAGTTGCATAAAATATAATTGCATTGAGGGCTTAAGCATTTAAGAAAAAAAATCAAGTTACATGTTCCAATTGCAAAAATCAGTATATGACATTAAAGCAGTCAAAAATGTCTTTCCTTCAAACCAAGTTTGGTAACAGAACTAATAGCTCTAGCAAATCTTCCGAAATAGAATGCATTAAGAGCTCTTCAGCTCTGAAAGAGGAAACCTCAAAGAAGAGAAGGGCTCCAAACAGAAAACTACACCGTAAGTACTGTCAGTGCAGAGAAGAGTAGCCAGCACTTTAGCTTTCTCATATAGATACCACAAATTGAAAGAAACAGATATTTATTATAAATTGACAGAAGTGTCAATATTTTATTTCAAACACATGCATGGCGTATTAACCATGTGGAACAAACTGATTTCTTCCAAGAGTCCTTCCTGTGCTGTGTGGTTTAATGTCTCACAGCTCTTCAGTGCAGTTTATTTTTTTCCTTCAGCAGTACACGTGCTGTTTAGTAGTTGTCAGTGTTTTCAATGCATGGGATGACTTAGTATGTGGTGCCTTGGTTTCACTCATTCACTACTGCATTTTGTAGCCTGGTGATGCTTCATTGCGTGATCTATGCTACACATTGTTCTCAGGGTTTTTTTGTGAATCACTGCAAGCAGCAGGTTCTCATACAAAATCCGTTGTGTACTGAGGCATCAACCTCACTTTCTAGGTTTTATGACTGAAGAGCAGCTGCAGTGCTGTACCACAGCCCCAGAAGTAATCATCCCACTTGGATTTAGGGCTCCATAATCATTTAGCTTGGTCTTCCAGATCAGAATTCGGGAACTGGTGGTTTAGATGGCACATTGCTTCCAAACAGCAATCTGAGTGATGTCTACAACAAACATTTACTTATGTTTCCTCCTGATTATAACCCAAAAGGTCTCTTCTGTGCAATTGGTATCCTTCCAAGAGTTCAAAGACCTTCACGTGAAATAAACGAGACAGAATTCTAGGCATCATAGACTGAGGCACTTCAGGTTTTCAGATGGAGGATGCAGTCCATAAATCACACAAAGCTTAAAGGAAAAGGCAGTAAACCTTTTGTAACGCTTTGGGACTACTCAACACAATACTGTATTTCAATAAGGTGAGTTTCCTTGGCACAGGTTATTAACCTTTTATCTGTATTATGATCCGTGTGACAAAATGTTCTCTTGAGCTTCCTCAGAGAGGCACTGCTATTGAGTCAACTGCCCCACACACTACAGATGCAGATACAGATTTTCTCTTGCAAAAGCCCTCTCTGCAAATGTAAAGAAACTTAGGTGAACAGGGACTTGATACCATTGGTAAAGGAGTGAAAGTCATAGTATCTGGAGGAGGAGATATAAATGCTCATTATTGAGTTGAAGTGCTATTATCTGTCTAGGCTAACTGACCAAAGAGACACATTACAGTTTTTTGCCACAGCAGTCTGAGTGTTCAGACACCTTGGATCTCACTTTCAACTTGTCCACAATTTTTATTTTGAATTACAAGATGCATCATAAAGTCTTCAATCCCAAGCTACGTATTCAGGCCCAATATATAGTGCAAAGTGTCTAACACTGAAGTTCATTAGTACCATCAATTTTAATTTATGTTTTTCCTCAATAATTCAGGAGAAAAACCCTGTAAGCTGCACCCTAATAGGAAATGAGGTGCCAATACATGCTTGGGCACTTCAGCTGGTAAGTCTCTCTTGGAGTTAGATGTCACATCTAATGATTGCTTGAAGTGCTTACACCTGTCTTTTGGATAATAGTTGAGTCGTTTGGCGTTTGTCCATAAAGCCAAGTTTCTGTGGTTAAAGCCCAAACTCCCGTTTTCCAAAACAAGGTTTTAACTGTCAGGGTATCAACAAGAATGGTTTTATTGGTTTCCTTTCTGCCTCTCAAGTTATATCATGAAGAATGAAAGAATGATTCAGTTTCTGTGTGGCTCCTCTGTGGTTCTGTGATTTTCACAGGGGCTGCATAATGTGAAATACAGGAAAAGACCTTACATCGTTATGCTTCTTTCCCAAAGCTACATGCTTGTTCTTTCTCTGTAGCCCAAATATATATCCACTTTAGGGACTTTGGTATTTGAATACAGGAGTATGAAGTACCCATTTGTCATCCTACAGATGTCATAGCAGGAGAACCAAATGTGATTACATATCTCCAAAAAACACCAAGGTATGCCATCATTAAGCAAGGCTCAAAGAATAGTTGAGAAATACGCACATTAGTTAATTTCTACAGGCGTATAAATATATGATATTCAGAAATAAAAAGAAATGGCTAAAATGCTGTATACTCCTTTATAAGAAACACAACTGAGAATGTGAAGACAATTCCCATGCTGTGTGGCTTACAATGCTGTCTTTTCTTTTTTTAAAATTTTCAGTGACAGATACCCACAGTGACTGAGGCTAGAATCTGTTAACTGCTGTATGTGCGCAGATCCTTGCGCCATTTCCAGATCCATGCATCAATGGTATTAGCAAAAACACAAGCTGGAGAGCCATAAATACTCTTCCTAGTGATTTTGATGCAATCAAGTAATCAATTCCTACGGAAGTTTTCAGGGTCAACAAATAACGTTAAATGATTCAAAATGGAAAACTGTAAATGCTTTTGAATAGGAGCAAATAAAAATATAAGATTTTCTATTACTACTAGAGATATTTAAGGTTTTGGTAATCAAGGAAAAAAATTGACAAATTGGTACAGCAATATAGGTGAGGTACAACAACAGCAAGTTTGCAACTGCAATAGGTAGATCCAGCCTGATCCCTTAGTTGTAACAGTGGAAGGTATAAAATGTCCTTTTGCTTTTACTAGCAGTATTTAAAGGTATCACTAATAATCCCATCAACATTGTGGCAAAGGAATGAAAGGTCTGAAGTTCCTGAAATTAACAGCAGGAGCATAATTCATTTTTTTTCTGGATTTAAATACCAGAACATCACTACACACATAGGTCTAACAAACAAACAGAGATATATTATAACTGCTGGAAAATAATTTAAATCAGATCCTGGGAGCATCAGAAGAAAAAACCGTGCAAACGCTTATCCCACTATTCATTTCACAACCCATTTTGGTGATCCTTACAACAACTTATCCTTTGAAATAAATGGCATAGGGTGTTTCACAGTAATTCTAATTCTTTGCAACCTACAGGAGTTTTAATGCTGCCTATATGGGAATATTCAAGCAAATACTGAAAAGAAGTGCTACTTGCCCATACAATCTTTTGACATGAACCAAGAACTAAAATGGACCTGAGGCAAATTTTGTGAAGAAGTAAGGCACTTATTCTTAACTGTGAGCTTGAATTAATTACCAAGGGAGGTGATACTTTTGTTCATTACCTGTAGTTCTTCCAGGAAGACTGGATGTTTTCTCCTTCAGTCACACAGAGGCTGTTGATATCAGTGCTGGGGTATCCTGGTTGAGTTTCAGAGATTGGGATGGTCTTAGGTTCTTTCAGATCTTAAAAAATCCACTTGAAATCATCACAGTGCACGCGCACACACACACAAACACTACGTGTTAAAAAAGTAGCAATAAGGTTGCGTCTGCTTTGTGTGTCAGAAGAGGTTCCAGACTGATGCCTGACAATGTACCTAACTGGTACATTAGTTTGGATTTCACTCCAATGCACAACCCCGCCCCTTTTAAATCTATGGGAATGTATTCCTGACTGCAGAGGAGCCAGAAATTCATCCAGCCTCTCAAGTTGTACCTACTATATTAATGATGTTTCCTTTTCTCACACGTAATTGATGCACAGGTCATTAAAGGGGAAGATAAAGCAGGCATGCTAGAAATCCCTCACTGGAACGGTCTCCAAGGGAAATTGCAAGCTGCCAGTATTGAGAGCACCTTTAAGCCTTAGAGCGACAGCAGACCACACCACCAATCTGCTTACTTCCAGCCCCACAGTCATCAGGCAGACCTAAGTAGCTGGATTCTATTATTTTATTTTGGGTTTTTTTTTTTTTTTTAGAAAGAAAATACAGATTTAAAAAAAAAAAAAAAAAAAAAAAAGCAAAATTCTATGATGTATAGTGAATGCCGTTGCCAGAATTCATGACTAATAAACATCCTATTAACAGCTGAACTGGAAATGAAGATGCATTCTGGAAGTGAATGCTGGAAATGGATGCTGCTGGCTCTGCGGCCAGTATATAGGTTTGGCAGGCGGAGGAGTGCGAGCATGGTCCGTCGTTTTAGGTGGCCTCCTTTGTCCCATTCATTACATCTCTAGGTGTCACGCTAAGTGCTAATGGTCGCAGCAGCCCTAAACGTGACTGCAGAGTGCGCAGTTTTCAAGGAACAGCACTTTCAACAGGCGGGCTGTATTAATGTAACCTCCAGCAGCAATTTTCTGTGTGCCTTACACACCAGCGTGTTTCGTCTTGCTTTTAAATACAGCTTCTAGATGTGTTTTTAGAGGGCCAGCCTCAAACTAACACTTCGCGGCAGCTTACCTGCCTGGAACCTTCTTCCTCTGTGACATAAATAAGGGAGGCAACGGCGCGACGGGCTCTGCAAGGCGCAGACCTCGTCCCAAAGGGGTGAAGATGCGCACACAAAGAGGCCTGGCGGGGAGAGGGAGACCTGCCTTCCTCCCGGCAGCCACCGCCGCTTTTTCTCCTCGCATTCCGCCCACCGGGGATACCGGGGAGCCCAGCGCCCGCCCGCCCGCACCGCCAAAGCGGGACCGGCCCCGCACCGCCGCGCCCGGCTGCCTGCCCGGGCGGACTGACGGCGGCCCGCGGGCCGGCAGACGCGGGCGGTGCGAGGCGCTGGCTGCCCCCGCCCGCCGGGGTCGGTGGCCCCGCTCCCGGGGACGGGCACGGCTGGCCGCGGGCCCGCCCGCCGCCGCCGCCCGGCCCCTCCGCCCGCCGGGGCGGTGGTAGGCTCCCGCCGTGCCTCCCGGCGCATAAAGAGAGGCGGCGGGGGGCCGGCCGGGGGCAGCGGCTGGCCGGCGACGGAGCGACCGGCCGTGATGGAGCAGCCGGTGCAGACGGAGACGTGGAAGGCGCGGAGCCTGGAGGAGCTGGTCCGCATCCTCCATCGGATATTCGCCGAGGACAAAGTCTGCGTGGAGGAAGTGCAGGCGCTGATGGAGTCCTACGAGAGCAACCCCGAGGAGTGGCTGCAGTACGCCAAATTCGACCAGTACAGGTACAAAACACCCCGGAGCGGCGAGACGCCCGGCGCAGCCCCCCTCACCGCGCAAACCGTGCAGGGCCGCGGCCGGCGAGCCGGGACCGCCGGGCGCTCCCCCGACGCCAGACCCGGCCGGCGGCCCCTCCGGCAGTGCCCCGGGGGGGGGGGGGGGGGGGGGGATGGCAAAGGCCCCCCGGGGCAGGGGAGAGGGGGGCACACACGGGCCCGTACCTCTCCGCGGAGCCCCGCGGCGGGGCCGGGCGGGGGGCGGGGAGCGGGCGGAGCGGCGGCGGCCAATGGCGGCGGCGGCGGGCGCGGGCGGGGGGTTGCCCATCACCCGGTACCGGCGGAGACCCCCGGCTGCGGTCCTGCCGCCCCGGGGTCTCCGCGGGCCCGCCCCGCCGGGAGCCGGGGGTGCGGGGTCCTCCGGCTGCGGTCCCGCGTGGTGCGTCCCCCGCCGCGACCGCGGGGCCGGCCCGCAGGACGGCAGGCGGGGAACTAACTGCCGGGATAACCCGCGGAGGAGACAGGAACGTGCTGAAGCTACCGAAAAAAAAAAAAAAAAAAAAAAAAAAAAGAAAGCCGAAGAGAAGCATGTCGGCAGCAGAAACCGCCGTGCGGGGGTTGCGCGGCGTGCAGGGGTGCAAAGGTGGGGGAGCAGACCGCTCCGAAGTGGGTGTTTGGTGTCTGTGGAGGAGCCGGTGCATGTATTCCCGGCCGGGCGGCAGCCGTCTGCCCCCCGACTCCTTCCTCCTCCGGCGTAGTGAAGGTAGAGGCTTTCTGCTGCTTGCTAGGAGGTAGGAAAATACCTGTTAGGGTTTTTAGCCCTCCTGCTTTGCTAACAACTGATTTAATCCTGCCATTGGTGGCTTCCCCATCTTAAATTTCAGTATAAATATATTAAATTTAAGCACTTCATTAAAAACAAAGCAAATTCCAAAACTTTTCATTTTAACCTTGCTGTCATGAAAACATCATCCTGTCTTGACTTTTTTTAGCCTCTTTTCACCTCATGTTGATTATCCCCCATTCAGAACAAATCACAAAATTCGTAACAGAACATAGAGAACTAAGGATTGGAAAAACAAAGTGTGCTAACATTAGAAGTATGCATGGCAGCCTCTTTTTTTTTGGCCAGCCAGACCTGCTGTACAGAAATAACAGCACTTGAAAAGTTCAGTCAAATGCCAGCATTGATTGCTTACGTTCTGACATCATAATAAAAATATTTTACCTAATATACACACACATTGTGGATGAAGTGAGGGGCAGTATATAGATATACATGTTATGCTTTGAAAGTGGTTTATTATGACCATCCTATATTGAGTAAAACAGAGTGGTCTTACAGCAAAACTAATTAAAAAACATTTAGTTGACATCAGTGCACTTTCTGTGTGCCCATGCTTCCCTCTTTTAGGCAAGAGCGAGGCATCCTGTCATCGGCACAAATATTTGCTTTACTTGGCAAAGTGAAGTGTGAATAGTCATGACTAGAGCTAAAATGAAATCAGAAGTTCCCATTGGGATACTTGCAACATAAGAGTTAGGAAGCAACAGCCCTGGATCAGAAGAGATCCTCTATGGAAAGTAATGTGTAGAGCAAAATCCCAGCCCCTTCTCTAGTGAACTTCTCAATAGAATGAGACGAGCTCAAGGCGGAGGCTTGCAGGAGAGTACGAGGAAACAAACATGAGATGTTGCTGTTAAAGGTGTTTTCAAGCCCTGAAAGAAAATCAATCTAGAACATGCATATCGATAAAAAGCCTTTAGAAGCAAGCTTATGCTGTGCCACCTACCAGTAAGCACATGAAAAATCTTTGTAAGAAATTTTCCTCTGATAACCTTTGTTTGGAAGTAAGTGCTGGCAGAAATTAGCCCACAGGTGTTATATCCACACACGAATGCTACAGTACAAGACATAGAACTTTCAAGCACAGAGTAGGAGGACCGGGTGCAGAAAGCCTGACATCTTCTTTCTTTGGGTTTTTTGGCTTTGTACAAATGAGTGCTGCATAATGGAAGGAAAGCCAAGAATATCTGAAAAGGAGCTGCAGAAGAATATAACCATGTATTTTTCTTGTTTCAGTGCAGTCCTCTGTTTCTAATTATAAACCAGCTGCTGAAGTGACTTCATTCAATAACTATTTTGATTTGATCCTGTCTACCACTCTAGTCTCAGACTCACAGTTCCCAAACTCCAATCATCTATGTAATTCAAAAAGATTATGATTATAAAATATTAAATATGTCATTTTTTCCCCAAGAAAAGAACAAAAAGCTTCTTATTAAAAAAGAAGCTGATAAATAGAATTCCATTTTTCCCAAGTAAAACTTGGCTTTTAAGAAGAGAAGGATTTTTATATGTCCCAACCTTGCTTCATAAACATGTTCGTGTAATTTTGTCTTTTATAGGAATATCAGTACAGTCAAAAGAAAACACTTTGTATTTCAGGTATACACGAAATCTTGTGGACAATGGAAATGGAAAGTTCAACTTGATGATCTTATGTTGGGGTGAAGGGCATGGCAGGTTTGTATCCAAAGACCATGGTTTTTACAAACAGATATAAAACCACTGTATCTTTTTCTGTCATAGAAAAAAAAAGAGAAGAACAATCAGACCTATATGAGCTATCAGAAAGTGTCTGGAAACTAAGCTGTGCAGAGTTCCTACTGATATAACATTCCTGAATATTGACTGTATCTTTTGCAAGTCTGTATCTTATGGACAATTTTAAAGCACTCTCTTGAAAAATGCTCTGCTTTCCTACCAAATCTAATCTTCCCTTCTGTCAGAGGAAGTTTTTAGTCCCAGAGATACAGTGGGTCCTGTGGGCACACAACAAACCCATACAGCACTTTGTTGCAGAAGCAAGACTTGGTGCGGTTTAAATAGTCTTTGTTCTCTCATGGTGACAAGATTAGAAAAGTATGTTTGGGCTAGGTCTGCAGGCTGTGAGGAGGGAGCCCCTTTCCAGGAGTAATTGGCTTTCTTGAGGTTCATGCATCCCATTTTCTCCCTCAAAACATAACACACAGCTGATATGGCCTCCTGAGTTTTGTACACAGACTGTACACCTGGTTGTGTAGTCCTACAAACATGAGGGCAGAATCTGTCCCATGGAGGGTCATTCACAAAATGTTGGCTAAAACAAAATAGGCAATAAAAAAACTTGCAGGTTTTGACAGATTATTCTTGCATATAAATAGAAAACCTAAGGAGATGTCAGAGCAATTTTTTGTTTGTTTTAATTGAGCATGCAATTGAACATTTACAGTATTCTCTGGGGGAGGCCATGACATTATATTCAGAGGGATAAAAGAACCAAGCCTACCACCCCTACTCCTTCTGGGCTATTCCCACAAAGCCTGTAATTTATATCAAAATGTGTTTGAGTTGGATGCACATTTGCTAGAGCTAGACTGAGACCACAAGTTGTTTTTGCTTTCTACATGAGGGGGATCAGATTGTTCTCACAGCTTGTGGAAGGAGCATGACAACGTGGCATTTGTGAACTGTTCTGTGCCTGAAGCAAGCTCTGCTCTGTTGGCATCTCAGTTTGTAAGAAACCCTGACATTTGTTTACTGAAAACAGTAACATACAAGTACTAAGTTTTTGACTGAAATTCATTAGCACTCTACTTCTGGGAGGGTCAAATTCCCTCTTCTCCTTCACCCCTGATGAGTGGAGAGCTCTCCTTTTGTCCTAATCCCATTGACTTCTGTAGCAGTTAATCCTCTATTTAAAAAAAAAAAAAAAAAAAACAAAAACACAAAAACCTAAACTACATATCTAGCTCACATGTCTCCAAATGTAGCAATTAAAACATACTTCAGAGCAAGGAAACAAATCAAGCAAGAAGACAAATCATACCAGAACCTGCTGGATTGTTCATATTTTGCCAAACTATTGAAATTAAGAGTTTACTGTACTCAGTACTATCAGAGTAAGAGGTACAGGATTTTTTCTTCAAAAAATGTTTGTGCACCCTAGCAGTAAAGAGACCATAGAAATTAAGCAGAAGTTCTCCCATATTTAGGGAGTGAGCATGGTGGATCTGCAAATACCAGGCATACTTGCAAATTCATACCAGTCTCTGTCTGGTGTCACTGTGGAAAGCATCGTTTTGTTTCTTGGCTCACAAGAGTTTTTGTGTTCTGAAAAATTTTTCTGTCCTTCTCCCTCCTTCAGATTTCCTTTGTATTTCCCTGTGGCAAAGTCATAGGTTGATCAATATCTGGCTCTTTTCCAAGTCCTGCTGTATGTGAGTTTATCTCAATACATTTCTAAAGTAATAGTCTTAAGTAGGCATACCTTAGTCACCAGGAATGCTTTTTTTCCTAAGACCTTTGTGCATGACCCCTGTGCAATAATATTTCATTCTAGGGCTGTGTCCAGATTCAATATGCTATTCCATCTTTCCTGTTCACTGTGCTGAAATTAAATATGTATATCACACTGAGTTTGATTATTCTCTTTACATATATAGCAGCATCCATGATCACACTGATTCACACTGCTTTATGAAGATCCTCCAGGGAAATCTAAAGGAGACACTGTTTGAATGGCCTGAGAAAAAGGGGAATGGTGAAATGACTAAGAAATCTGAACGAGTTTTGAGGGAAAATCAGTGTGCCTACATAAATGGTAAGCTCTTAAGCTTGTTTTGACAACTACCCATCCATGAGTCTTATTCCTAACAGAGGAATTCATCTGCTCTCTAGTCTCCTACCTTTAACAGTATAATACCAATGCCTTTATGCACAGTTTAAGATCATGCCTCTTTAGAATCTGCACAACATTTTATTTGGATTGAGTAAAACAAATAACCAAGAAAATGTCCTTTTAACTCACTCTTAAGACACTACAGCTTGATACTTAAATATACTGGTTATCTCCTCTAGACCAAGCAGCCTTCAGCACTGTCCCAAATGACTATCTGAAATTGCTTGTAAACATAGATCCTGAGCAGTATATTGTGAGAAATAAGGGAACCAAAGTTTAGATAACATAATCACCTTGATTTTTTTCAAATAAATAATCCTTTTGGTCAGTCATGGAAATCCCAAAAATGTAAAAGGTCTCTATGGCATAAATTGACCAGACAGGATCAGAAGCCCCAATCCCCAGTGCTACTTCTTGTCCACATTGACAGAAGACTGTAGTGCTGGAGTGCAGCATCAGCAGAATTGAAATGCTCAAGTCCACCCAAACCACAAAAAATTTGCCTGACTCCACAGATGCTGCGAGATGACTAAGTCTCCACCAGTAAGGCTCCCCAGGTACCTAAATCTATGCCATTACATGTATCTGTAACTATTACCACCTTGTGCTGTGCTGGAGGCCATCCTGGAATGACCAGCTGGGTGTAACGTATTCTGATGCTTTGAAAGACATTGCATATCATGCTGAACAGCAGTGAGTTCAGCGGAACAAAAGCAAAGCATCAGAGAAGGGGGCCATCTGCCTTTTATGTGACGAGTTAAAAACTGGAGCACACAGCTTGCGGAGCTGAGCTTGGGAACTCCCCAGCTGAAGGGAGCCTCATGTTGGGTTGCAGACTAAGACAGGGTGAGGGCATTGGGGAAGAAAGACTAGTGCTCTGCAGCCCTCTGTTGAAGGTATGCCACATCAGTGAAAACACAAAATCCATAGGACAGGAAATACAAGGAGCTTGACACATCTGCTATTGCTCCCGTGCCAGGGACACGGGTTCTCCGACTCAGTCAGGTTTACCTACCTATGTAGTTCTTTCCCTATGCAAGCAGTTGCATCCTGTGTGCATCTGATCCAAAGCTCCCTTGGTTGCTTTAAACAAATTTGGTATCCAATTCTCTGCTTTGGATCTCTGCCATGTTTCATAACAAATGTTTTGGTTTAAAAGAAGCAGGTAAAACAAGTAGAAGGAAAACATTGACAGTGTGTTCATTGGACTACTTCAATAGTGAGTGACCTTCATGTTTCTATTTCAAGCTTCTTGGTTGCTCTTGTACTTTATTCTTAAGGGTAGAACCCACTAAACAGTGTTTATTTGAATCTCGATTAGATGAGCACAGATTTAGGACTTTTCCCCACTGTGTCATCTATTCAGATAAACTACGTTAATGACACTTTGGGCTTACACTTCAAATGTATCAGAGTTAAGAGTGTACTTATGATTCTCAGGGTACAATGCCTATGTTGCACAACACAGGCCTAGGTATTATATAACATACTAATTCAAGTACAAAGACCTGAGCTGATTTTACAACAGGGTCATAAATTTAAATTCAAGGTCTCTTTTAGGTAACTAAAAATCTCCACTGTAGTGTAGAATGGAAATGGTTTTATGGATGTGATTCTTAGATTTTTATGTAATAGCTTGATCTCTACTCTACTGTTGGACAAAATACCATCACTTCATTAGTAACCACACAACAGACAGTGCCTTGTTTTATTAGATGTTCAGTTATGCTTACTATTCAGTTAAGATTGGAAGTACGCCAGTCACTACTAATTTGTCACCTTAGTCAAAAGAGCAGACAAATAAAAAGGCTGTTCTCTAAACTAATCAACTGGAAGGATTAATTAGGAAACAGATGCCTGCAGTAGAAGACAATTATATCTCTGTCCATAAACCCATGCCCCAAACACAGACTTTTAATGTGACTGATGTCCTTGTTACCAGGCTAAGAATTATCAATACAAAAACTTTTTCCCTGTAAAACATCTTGCTAATTTTTAGAAACACAAAGTTTCCTTTTTCTCAAGTATCTATAACAACAGCATACTCCTAGGAGAGTAAATAACCTTGAAGTCTTTTGGGTATGATGGCTAGAAAATTACTGACGGCATGCTCTTCCTTAAGTTTCTCTGGATTTCTATTGGCTTTTATCCTGTAGCAGATAATCCAGAAGTTACATGAAGTGTGGAAAGCAATAACGTATTTTGAATTACCAGTGTATTTAGGAATCTCTGCTAGAGAACAGCAGTCAAAATCCCTGCACTGAGTTTCTCGTTGCCCATTAAAGCATGGGTATGCCTAACTGGCTTGCTCGTGAGTTTTGGTTTAGAAAGCATTTTTCCGGGCATCTGACACCTCATTAAATCTTCCCACTAACTCAACCTCTCGTTTCATGCCCTCACTGGTGTAGACTCCATTGGCCTGCACCGTGTGGAGAACATAAGCCACACTGAGACAGCCGTTAGCCTGCATTTGTACAGCCCACCCTTCGACAGCTGCAACACCTTTGATCAGAGGACTGGACACAAGCACAAAGTCAAGATGACCTTCTACAGCCAGTTTGGAGAAAGGACTCTCTGCGTAAGTATGAGATGAGGTCCCAAGCCCTGTGGGGACGGGCGCGAGGGGCTGCCCTCCTGCCCGCACAGGGCAGAGCGCCGGTGCCCCAGGACAGGCAGGAGGTCCAGCAGCCTTATTCGGGGCATCCCCCTCTAGGACCAGAGTAAAACCTGCTTCCAAAAACTACTTGATTTGTCAATTTGCAGTTCCCTCATGTGGAGCTCCCTGCTTTGTAGCTTTGCCTCCTCTTCATCAGGAGGAAATCAGTTCCCAGCAGAGAGGAGGATTAATGAGAATTTTGCTACTAGCTAAGTGTCTTCAGGCAGAAAATGATGGTAAATGCAACCTAGTGAATGGAAAACCGTGAAGCAGCTACATTGTTTTGGCCAACTTAAGTCATGTGTAACATTTCCTGCCTAAACTGTTCTGCCAAAAAGCATCACATTTTGAGCCAGTTGTTTTAAACCCTGTAGTTTACTGTAGAGTAAAGAATCCTTTAATGAATTTATTTTAATTCTTTAAAATCAAAAAAACTTAGACACAAAAAGACTTGATCTGAGAGTGACAGCAGGCTGGATGGCTGTTATCTGCATTCCTGAGGAATGGCATGAGATTTTATTTGGATAGAGAAGAAATCTTAAGATCAGCTTTGGGGGACCAAGCTAGGACATCTGAGAGAGTCCAATGGAGTTCCTTTTAGAGCTCTTCCATGCATTGGGAAACGTAACTACTTATACAAGGAGAAAAGACAGATTCTTGATGTTCAGCCACAGAGGTTCAAAGACTGTTTGGCTTTATTAGATACAGAACAATTTCACCTTTCACTGAAGCCAGAAATTCAGTGCTCATGAGTTTCCTGGAGTGAGCCCTTAGTAAGATCCTGTTAAAGTTTTATATAATCGACAAGTACCATGTAAATTATTTCTTTGAAGCTTGTCACATTACATGATTACAACTTTACCAAATAGCTGAAACACAAACTTTGACCTTCCCAAGTTTGAAAGGTCCTTGAGAAAGTAAACTCAAATTTATAATTCAGATTTTAAAGGGAAATGAACAACAAAAAAATAGTGAACAAAATTTATGCAAGAGTTGAGTGTTTGCTTGCTTGCTTTTTTTTTAAGTGTTTATTGAATATGAAGTATGTAAGATAACAAGTGAGACTAGATGTTTTGACTTGGACTATTTTCCTACTCTTGATCTGTAACCATCTGGCAATGTTTGTACCTTTTGTGGGAAACTGGTTCTGGCTTACAGCAGAGAGGTAAATCTTAATCATTGGGTCTCTTTCATGAATTCCTGTAAATGGAATTCCAGTCAGGGGGAAAGTGGTAGTGAGTCTGAGCCCTCCAGCTGCCTGAAATTACTTCATGCTACAAAAACCTTCTGGTCTCTTTGAGGGTTTCTGGAAAGCTGACTGGAAAATCAAATTTTCTTCTGCTTACCAGATCTCAAAAGGATGTAGGAAGACAGAGCTATAAGTTAAAAATACCAAGAGAGTAATGAAAAGTATACTTGTGTATCTTTTATGAGTGAGGAGATCTGTCTAGCTAAAGCAAATCCAGTGCTTCCTCTTTTTCTGCAGGTAACACACACAGGTAGATCCCTAGTGGTTTCTGGCCATTATGAAGCTTTAATTAACTAACTCTCCAGTAAATACATAATAAGTTATATAAGCCTAATAATCAAAATATTATATAGTGTGTCCAAGGACTTGCCTGTGGAAGTAGCTGTTTACACAGTTCAGGTACAAACCATGAGAATACTGATAGGAAACTTCACCGAAAGAAAACTGATTTTGTCTTGGGTGTCACAGCACATCAGTTCCTGCTGCCAAGAATTTTGCTGGGAGAGACAGTTTCTCTTAGCATCCTGTCTTCCAAGCTGGACTTTCAAGCAGAACCTGTCAAAACAAAGTAGAGCAGAGTATCAAGGTAGCTTGAAGGAGGAAGCACTCCTCAGCTTTTCCCTCTGCTGTGGGCTTGCTCACGGTAATACAGCGCCAACGGAGAGGGTGATTTTGTCAGGTGCACAGGGCCCTCTATAAAACTCTGGCAAGAAGTATTGAAAATAAGTGTACTAAATGTTTTAAGGCACTGAGCTACTCTGGGAATAAAGGTGCATGCTGAGAACATGCAGTCAGTGGTGACTGTCTCTTTCCTTAAAACAACAACCTCTTCTCTTTCCTTTTAGGCGACAGCGGTGCCACAGGAAAACAACTGAGAAGCACCAGCACATGTTTGCATAAGACCTGCTGAATGTTTAACCAGGGACAGAAGACTTGCATGGCTAAGGCCGACAGCCAGCTATATTTCTATACCTTGTACATAGGAGTATACTAGGGCAGCTTCCAGGCCACCCGCAGTTCCCTTGAGTGAATGCCGATTATGGGACATTAAGCTAACTAGTGCCATAAACTACTTCAGAGGTTAGATGCCTTTTCTTAGGCTTCTGTCAGAATTAAGTAGTTTGTTGCCTGATTCTAGCCTCCTTTCAATTCTACTTCTGATACCACACTGAGAAATCAGAAATAGGGTTTTTAAACATCTTCTGACACTACTTAATAGTCATTAGTCATGTGTGGATGTATGCTCTAAATGTAATTAGTAACCATATAAACTTCTAAGCTTCCAGTCACTTGTACCTATGGGTAGCACACTAGATACAACTAACAGCAGCTTTTTTTTTTTTTTTTTTTTAATTAAGACTTTTAGGTTTTAGTGCTCTAGGCTGTTTTGATAGTTTTGTTTATTTTTTACTTTTTGTTTTTTACAATTTCATTTGTCAGATCTTGTTTTAAATAAGAACAGCAAAATGCTTCATGCACAATGATTTTCAAAACTGATTGGACAGCAATTTGGGTTTTTAATAAGACTAATCATACTTAATTCAGCTAATGTCCAATTTCCAAAGTATTCTGTATAGCTACTGAGGAAGGTTACTGAAATAAAACTGGATCTGTGCACACATTTCCAAGTTTTCAGCCTTTTTCTCGTGGTAACTAAAAAATTTGTCACACTTTAATAAAACTCATATTCCTCATGAACACCTAAGTCTTTTCCAAGCAATACACTATTAGAAAAGGTTTTAAAAAGTTGAAAGTATTTCAAACATGCAAAGAATCCTGATCCCAATTACTCTGGTGGGAGTTCTGCCACTGAGTTCACTGATGCTTAGTTTTATCCTCCAGATTTAGTTACAAGGAAAGAACTATCTCGAAAAAAGTTAACTCTAAATAAACATATCAAAATCAGCAAAGCTGCCTGCACTCCCATTCATTTAATGCAGTTAGTAACATAAGACAAGTAGAGAATGTGTAGCAAGTCTCGTAGTCTCATAGGTGACTGCTGGTTACTCAGGTAGCTGTTTAAGTTTTAACGGTATCTTTCTTAGATCACATATTTTCCTCCATATTGACAATCCCAGAAAATATTTGTTTTATGACACTCTGTTTCCAGGGAGACTGTGTCAAATTTAAAAAAAATATTTGAGCAGTGTAGCAGTCTTTAAACAAACATTTGCCCTTGGGCAGCAATTATTCCTTGAAGTCCAGTGGGAAAGCAGTAGGTGCTTTGCAACAGACTTTTTTTTTTTTTTTTTTTTTTTTTTTTTTTTTGGGGGGTGGGGGAGAGGGGAGGGGAGTGGAGAAGAGGAAGAAATGGGGCATGGAAGGAGAACAGGAAAAATGAAAAGATAAAGGAGGCCTAAATGCAAAAGAACAGGGATAAGCATCAACAGTAATCAGGGACTCTCTGCATGAGATGGTCCCAGAGACTATGCCAAAGAGGGGTTGAGAGAACATGGAGCCCAAAACTGGAAGGATTAGGAAAAATGACACTCCAGGTGTAAAGAGTCCTCTGTGCTTTTCCCAGGCTCCAGCATACCCCAATGTTTAGCATGTTTTTTTCTCATTCACTATGAGCCACTTCCTGAAAAATCTTGTCAGGCCAGATGTTGGGCTTGAGCTTCTTAATTTGTCATGTCTCAAGTTGTTGTGAGAGTGGCACAGCACCAGGCATGAGCTGAGGCTGGCAGTCCAGCTGCCCTGCTCATGCAGGGTCACCTAGGGCAGGTAGCTCAAGACTATTTCCAGTTGAGTTTTGAGTATCTCCAAGGCTGGAGGCATCACAGACTCTCTGGGCAAACTATTCCACTGTTTGACCACCCTCACAGTAGAAAAGCCTTATGTTTAGACAAGGTATGTTGCACTTCAGTTTGTACCCATTACCCCTTGTTCTCCACCCCCTCCCAAAGGAAATTAACAGTTTCACTTAACTAACTTCAAATATACCATATTCATCATGCTTTCATTTACTATGTAAAATTAAAGGACAGACTCAACAGCTTGTAGATCACTGGTTCACACAGGTCAAGGGAACTGGCAAGATTAGAGAGACAGCCAAAAGACACAGCAACAGTGACAGCAGCTAGCTGTACCAAGATCCACTGATAGAGAAACTTAGGCCGTACTCCAGCTAGCCACACACATGCCTAGCAAGTGAGGCCGGGGAAATACAAGCAGAAAAGATAACAACTATCTACCCAAGTTGTCACCAACACTGTTTAGCCACAGTAAACATGGTATCATACTTTGCATAGAATAATACAGAAATTTCAGTGTTTCAGACCAAGGTCTTTGCCAGGTACTTATGCCTGCCATACCACAAACATAAGGAGGTAGCCTATCCAACATAATGGGCACAAATACAGAAAACCTCAAGACAAATTAATAACTCAGTCCAGTGTCCTTAGAACACACACCAAAGCTGCCACCTTTGCTACTTCCTAAGCACCATCTATGCATCTTCTGTGCTGTACAGCACAAGCATAAAGCTGACACCTACCAAAAGCAATATTTAATCAATAAATATCAAGCTATATAATGAGAAATAGAGCCAACTTTTCACTTACACAGGTATGTTCACATAACTTATGCTGGTTTAAAGCATAGAAACAAGCAACAAGAAAATAGTTTTTGCACATCATTATGTCTGAACAGCCAAGGTATTAAACTTTCTAGCATATGAAAGTACTCAACCTTTGGAGAAGTGTTAACTGGCCAGTTGATAAGGTAGCAATATGCTGTAGGCTGACAATTAGCTTTCACTGGCCAATAAATAGGTGCTTAACAATTCATATGTTTTCATCTGGGAAGGTATCACTGAGCAATGCCACTGTAAATTGAAGAAAGTTTAACATTTACCTGGGTTACAGCTAAGATCCTTAAGTGGTAAGACATACTGCCTTAAACCATTAATACTACTAAATCATTCAGGTTGGCACCAGCAGGAGGAACTCAGTCTAACTATGATTTGGTGCATTAACTAAAATATCAGTGAAGGAGCTTCAGCAGAAACACACAGGGAGGCAAAGTAATGACAGGAGTGGAGTAAAGTGCAATATTTACATTAATTCAGCAAATTGCAAAGGTCTTGTTGTTTTGGTTTTGTTTTGGAGAGTCATTATTAGAAATTTAGAAATAAGAGAAGTTATTTATCAAAACCATGTATTACATGGGAAGGCTTTGTAGTAAAGAGTCCCTGGGAAGGCATATGCCTTATGCAAGGGAAAAGTTGACAACAGGGACTCTTCTGGGAATGGAAGTGCTATCCCTGTCTGTGTGACCATGGCTGATGAGGACTAGATTCACAGAAATGTGGGACGTCTTCTGTGAGTTTTCACCTACGTATAACCAGCAGGTGAGCAGCTCTTTTTCTCCCTGTGCTGAGGTATGTGAGCTCTGAAGCCTCTAACAGGAATTATTGCTCAGAGATAGTCCCTTGCTGCCTAAGCACAGTTTCTTAGTATTCTTGTGGGTAACTAAGCCTAGAGTTACTTTCTGTCTAACTCACTACAAGACCTTAGCATACACAAATTGGTTCAATTTGTTATTTAAGCCTGAGTGACAGTTAAGTCTCTTGATGTTTGCACAGTATTCATCTTCTTCCATTGTTGGTGCATAGAGGAACCCAGCAGAACCAAAGTCCACCCTACATATGTAACCCTGCTTCCATTACAAAGTTTTTTCCCTAAACAGCAAAGACACAAGATATGCTATTCACTGGCACTGGCTAATCCTTGTAGTTATTTTTTCACATTCCTCTCACAGCCAAGAGAAAGCTGTGTTGCAAGAATGTAGCCTTCCCAGGGTTAAAAGAGGTGACCTGCCTACAGTTCTTCTGCAGAGACAAGCAGAAGGACCTGAAGCTCAGTACTTTTCAATCATACTGTAAATTCTGCTCTTGCCAGTTTAGCTCATGAAAGACTTTGCTGTCTTTGAATGTCAGAGAGTCTTATGTTCCAGGCATGGACATACTCCCTGGCTGGTAAAGGAAGAAAAACCACCATGTACTAACCATACAGGACCTCAAGACTAGTTCTGAAAACTTCGAGCTCATGTGAAGCTTTATTCAATAGTTAGATCTCAAATCTTTGAATCCTGTGGGTACTTTGCACTACACTGTATTTCTTCAGGGATGTTTGACCTCCAAAATAGGTATAGACAAATGTTTCTAACTTAATTGATCATTCCTCCATGCTACGCAAGAAAAGTTTTGGGTTTTTTTAACAAATAATTAAACATTTTATGTCTTTTCCAAACCTGTTTCCTTTTTGCTTTTACTCTACCATTTGCTAAAAGCCATAGGTACAGAGAGTTGAATTTTTGAATTTTATCTTAAAGTCTAACTTCTTGACATCCAAGGACTGCCTCCTTCCTGTCTCACTGTATGTTCAGAGGAACACATAATGTCAAAATCAACTCTATTTGCACTTCACTTCCCAGTAGGAAAAAAAAAATCCTTTTCTGAACCACAAAGGTAAAATACACATGCTTCTCACTGGCTCATGCTTTGGTTTATTATTCACTCCCCTCCTGCTCATTGTTTTAGATTTATATTATTTCAGGGCCCTGTGTTCTCCCAGGTTTAGTTTAGCTAACTGGCTGACTTATGGCTAGCGGTGGTGAAGAACATTTTAAAATATGATGATTAAATGTGAATGAATATATTTCTTAGGGGATGAAACATCATTAGCCTGCTTCCTTAATTCATAACTAGAGAAATGACATAAGAGGATTATGTGGCACATGCTATTCTGATCCAGCCAGTTTCCCTGAGAACCACATGAATCACAAAGTTACCATGAGCAAAACATGTTCCCTGACCAGAAAGCAAAACTTCTGCTTCAGAAGACAGCTACATTTTGTTCTCTACTCCCACTCTGTATGCAGATTCAGACCCTCAGTATCTCTGTTTTTTCAAACTTGTGTGTTTTTAAAATCACAGTGTGAATGCAGGGTGTTTGATTATCTTTATAGGTCACTGTCTCAGGAAGCTCTGAGACCAGCAGCCAAAACAATGAACCTCCTCTTCTCTCCCTAAGTGAAAAAGATGCCCCTGCAACACATCACCAGTTTGCAATGAGCACTCTGATCAAATAAGCACGATGAAAAATATTTCCTCCCTTGTTTCTATCTGCAGGTAAGTGCAAAGCTTTGCCCTTAAGATTGTTGCAAAACAGCTCTGTGAGTGTTTGGCACTAAGTACAGAGAGAGACCTCCTGTTGATCACTCACTCAGAGGGTGGCCCTGAAAGTGCATTTCCTAAGCCTAAGGACAGGCAATCCTGAGGAGCAGGAATAGCTCTGGAGATTAGAGAACTACTCAGTAAATGCTGAGGGTCTGTTGCTACTGCAAAGACCAAGTTCATTTGAGGTCTGGTTACATATGGTTATAGAAGCCAAGGTTTGAAGCTTTCATTGAAATATTGAAAAACCTACTGTGAAGCTCTCGGGCCTGAGGTGGTGTTGTGGTTTGAGCCCAGGGGACAATTGAGCACCGTGCAGCCATTCACTCACCCCTTCCCCTCTCAGGAACGGGAAAATGAAGAAAAAAGGCTTAGGAATGCAGATAAGGACAGGGATGGGTGGTCATCCATTACAGTCAGGGGCAAAACCAGACTCATTAGGG